AAGGTGACCTGTGAAATGGTCCGATACCCTCTTAACCAAGAAAACACTACAAACTCATGCAAATCAAGTCGTTCAAGCCTTCATGCATATGATAAGAATACCCATAAAAATGCCCACGCAGCTGATCAAGGGTATGCATATTTGAAAAGTCACCAAGTCTGAAAGATGTCACTTTAAAGAAGCAATGTGTGCCATTCTGTCAGTATAATGGTGGAACTGGGGCGTGTGCCAAGGCCAAACACCATGGCTGGACATGATGGCCTGAAAAAGGTGTTGAGATTTTGCTGCACATGTTTAAAAATGCAGAGTAATGCTGAACTTAACTATTTGGATGTGGAGTCTCTGGTCTTTGAACATGTCCAGATGAACAGAGTACATAAGATGCAGCGCTGAATTTACAGAGCTCAGGGTCAGATTAACCCATACACGAGCTCCTGGAACAAACAGTTCCTAAGCAAGAAGAAAAAGATATCCCAGAAGAAACAAAAACTTACAATATGGGAATAAATGCAGCATAAAAGCTGCATTTTTTTTAACGGGGGGGGGGGGGGGAGGAGGGGAGAGATCTTGGGAAACACCCATGTCAACCTCTGTATACACGTACATACACACATGAACACATACACATGTACCACTACCCCAAGTAAAAAGTCCAGAAGTAAGTGAATCTTCTGAACAGTTTCATTAGGTTTTTGGCTCAATTTTTCAGAAATATTGTCTAGGTTCTGGCTTCCAAAACTTCTAAAAAGTCTTGTGTTTTGCCTGCTGTGATAACTGAGAAAAAAAATTCTGCTGCGATGTAGGTATCATACTAGACTATGCTATCCAGAAAACAAAAGAATATCTCTTTTTCATTCTTCCCTTTTATTGATCAATTGCCCTGGGTTTTAAACTTTTTTTTTTTTTAATTTATTTTTAAGACAGGGTCTCTCCATATACCTTGGCTGTCCTGGAACTTAGTATGTGTACCAGCCTGGCCTTGAACTCACAGAGATCCACCTGACTCTGACTCTCAAGTGCTGGGATCAAAGGTGTGTGCCACCATCATCTGGTCCTGCCCTGGGTTTTTAATAATTAGAAAGACTGGAGATCTGGCTCAGCAGTTAAGCACTTGTTGTTCCTGCAGAGGACCTGAGTTCATTTCCTAGTACCCACAAGGTGGCTCACAACCATCTGTAACTCCAGTTCCAGTGGATCTGATGCCCTCTTCTGACCCCTTCAGACACCAGGCATGTATGTGGTTGCACATTCACACATGCAGGCAAAACACTCATACACATAAAATAAGTGTTAAAAGTAATTAGGCAGGACATAGCACAGTAGACTCTAAAACTGGACGTCATCATTTTCTAGCTGCATGGTTTTGGGAAAGTCAACCTCTTTTGTGACTGCTTCCTCGTCTACAGGGATTTTAGTAATACTCATTTCATAAGGCTGTTATGGGGATTAAGTAAGCTTGACAAGCAGCCAGTACACTGCCTGGTAACTAGTTAGTGCTCCATAACTGTTAGCTAGTGTTGCCAACATATTTCCTTCGGAACACCTCCCTTCAAATTCTTATTTCGTTAGATTGTTTTAGGCAATACTGAGTCTTTCTGACATTTCTTTGTTGAATTTGTTATAGCCAACCATAAAACAAACATTGAACGAGGGGTCTACTATTTTATGCACTGAAGAGCAAATAAAACAGACAGCAGCCTGTCCTTACATTCATCACACTGTAGTGGAAAGTGGGGTATGGCAGACAGGCAATAAGCAAATATACAGATTTCCGGTGGGACATTGCTGTGGAGAAGAATCCAGCGAGAAAGGGTGTAAGTAGTGAAGGGTTGCTATCTAAAATGTGGGCAAGACTTTTATTATTAATTTATTTTAAGATAGGATTTTGTTATATAGCCGTGGCTGGTCTGAGAGTTGATATGTAGACCAGGCTGGCCTCAAACTCCCAGAGATCTTTCTGCCCCTGCCTCCCAAGTGTGGGGTTTAGAAGCATGCACCACCACTCCTAACCACATAAGACTTCTTTTTAGAAAGCCTGAAGATGGTTGGCCATAGTGGCGCATGCCTTTAATTCCAGCACTCAGGAGGCAGAGGCAGAGAAATCTCTGTGAGTTTGAGGCCAGCTTGGTCTAAAATAGTGAGTTATGGGACAGCTAGAGAGCTACATAGTGAGACCGTGTCACAAAAAAAAAAAAAAAAAAAAAAAAAAAAAACCTTTAAAAAAAAAAAAAGAAAAAAAAACTGTTAAGATGGTGAGGAGTGAGCTGTACCAATATCTAGAAGATGATATTTGAGGCCAACACATCAGCAAAGGCAAAGGCCCAGAAGAAGCAGTATGTTAGAAGACCAGGAAAAGGGCCAAAATGCAGCTGGAGCAAGAGAGCACTGAAGCTCCTACCACATCAGAAGGGTAGCCAGTGATAAGTCAGTCACACAGGACCTTGAAGAATGTGAACATGCTCCTCCGTGCCAGTGAGCATCTCCTGCAATGTCTTACAATGGAAGCCATGAACAGAGCAGGGCCATAGCTGCAACTTTCCTAACAGTGGGGTGGAAAGTTCAGATAAGGCGTCTCAGAGGAGGTGGCTCCTGAGCTGAGTGCAGGCGAACTGGAGGTATCTGGAGAGAAGCCGGAAGTGAAAAGGCCACAACAGAAGGTGTTAACGGATTGGTATATTCAAAGCCTGGTGGTGGTGGTGGTGGTGGTGGTGGTGCACACTGTTAATCCTCGGGAGGCAGAGCAGGTGGGTCTCTTGACTTGGAGGACAGCCTGGTCTACAGAGCGAATTCCAGGACAGCCAGAGCTACACAGAGAAACCATGTTTTGAAAAAAACAAACAAACAAACAAAAAAACAAAACAAAAATAGACAGATATATTTGAGCAAATACAGTAAGAGTAGTGCATAGAGAAAGGACTGAGGAGCAGGGGCAAAACAAGACCAAGTAGGCTTGACTGACTGATGGAAGTGTTTATTGAACACCAGACATTTCTTACTTAATCTGTGACAGGCACTGTACAGGTTTGGGAACACAGTAAGGTACAAAAATCAGTAAGGATTCCTGGTCTTGGCGCTGGGGAGACGGCTTAGCGGGCAAGAGTGATTGTTCTGCAAGGCTGAGACCCTGTTCCAATCACCCATTCCCCACTTCAAAAGGCCTGGCGTCGCTGATTATTCCAGCAACTGGAAGGTAGAGGCAGAAGGATCAGGAGTTCAACATCACCCTTGGCTACAGAGCAAGCACAAGGCCAGACTGAGCTACACCAGTCCCATTCTCCTTCCCCAAAAGGTCATTAAACCACAGGTCTGAAGGGGATGGGAGAATCCAGCCTTCTGGGAGGTCTGTAGCTAGAGCTGACAATGGTCCTCTTGTCCTCTCAGAAGACCTGATTGTCTGGAGAGGCCAGAGCGGGTATGTGGGTGGGAGACCGAAATGGGAGATCCTGACACAAGCAATATTTAGGAGGGAAAACCAACAGCCAGGTTAAGCAAGAAAACATTTCATCCAGTATTGGGCAAAACTACTCCACTAAGCTTTTTTTTTTTCCCCTTTGAGGAGCAAGCACCCAGACCCCGGCCACGAAGCCTCTCCGCCCAACCAACCCCAGCCTTCGCAGCGAGCGGCAGCACTCTTTCATTCCTCGAAAGTGAAGTCACCGGGCTCCAATTCCTTCAGGACCCGGCCCGCACGGCCCGCAGCTACCCCGAGGGCCCCAGCTCCTGGCCTCGCCCACTCAAGCACCACCCCGCCGCTCCTCCGGGAGGATCCTCCTCCTTCCGGCTCCTGCTCGAGGGTCCCGCACGGACCTCCCCCCCCCCCTCCCGCCGGCTCGCTGTGCTTCCAGGCCCGCCTCCTTCAGGCCGGCGGCAACCTCGCGGCGCCTGGGCTGCTCTCGGCACCGCCTCCGCTTCCGTAGGCCGGCGCCCGGGCCCCCGAGGCTCCTCCTCTGGGCACGCGCTCCCGCTCGGCTCCGCCCACAGCCCGCTCCTCCCCACCCCCGTGTCGTCCGGCCCGGCAGCCCTCGGGACCCCCCGCCCGCCACCTCCGCCCCTCCTCCCGTCAGGCCCCGCCCCGGGCCCGCCCTCCTCCTCTCGGCGCCCAAGCTCGGGGCCGTACCAAAGCCAGGCGCGGGGGGTGTGCAGGGAGCCCACGCGTTTGGAGAGCCGGGCCCCGGGCCGGGCGGCGCTGAGACTTGAGTGCTCGGGTGGCTCCGGTGGCACGATCCGTCCAGGAGGAGGCCGCCGCGAACCGGGCCGGAGCCGAGGCGGCGGGCAGGGCCGCGTGCCGAGGCCCGCCTCCCCTTGCCCTCCCCGCGCGCGGCCGAGTGGTGGCGGCCAGGAGAAGGACTCGTGGCTGCGGGGCCCGCGCCTCTGTCAGTGCGGCGGGGCGCGCGAGCGGCGCGGGGCCGAGGGGAGCCGAGGGGGCGGCAGCGGTGGCGACTGGCTGGCGCGCGTGTGCTCCGCCGGCTCCTCACGCGGCGGCCGGGGCCGCCTCCTCCCTCCCTCCCTCCCTCCCTCCCTCCCACCCGGCCTCCGAGAGCGGCCGCGCCGTCGCCTTCCGCGCCGCGCGGCTTCCCCCAGAGCTCAGCGCGGGTGAGTGGGGGCCGCGGGCCGCTCCGGAGGAGTGCGGGCGGGCTGTTCCCGGTGCCTCTTCCTTCCTCCCCTCCTCCGGCAGGCCGTTGCCTATTTTTAGAAACTCTTTTTTTCGGCCGTTCGGGGAGTCCTGGGAGCCGGCGTAACTCTCGGCCCCCCCCTCCCTCCGAGCTTCCCCCTCCCAGGCCCGCCGCCCCGGGGTCGCCTGCCCGGGGCCACCTGCGCTCGCCCCTGGGCGCCTGGCGTTCGCAGCTTGCTTCTGGTCGGCCCGCCGGGCCGGGGCCAGGAGTTGGGGGTGGGCGGGCGCCCGCTCGGAAGTTGGAGTCTTTTGTGCTCGCGCCCCGCCCCGACCGGCGAGGGGAGGAGGGGAGGGAGCCGAGGTTGCGCCGGGGAGGCCTCGGGCGGGCTGGGGCCTGGCCCTGGCCTCGGTCGGGGGACCCGGGCTTCTTCCGGCTTCTCAGCCCCGGCCAGTTCTTTGGGTTCCCTTAGGCGCGCAAAACTGGTCCTTCCCTCCCCCCCATCCCCCCCACGGGTGTGAGAGCCTCGCCCGCCACCCTTGCCCAGCCTTCGGTCGTGGTCACCTGGGGCGCGGAAGGGAACGACCAGCCCTCGAAAACTGGGACTGGGTCCCACACTTTATTGCAGTCCTCCTCGACGCGGGAAGCCTCAGTGTTCTCCTTGGTGAAATGGGGTCAAGAATTGACGCGGCCTCGAAGGGTGTTGGTGAATTCAGGGAGGGAGTTAGTACATGAACAGAAGCGTGAAATGCCAACAGGTAACGTCCTATGAGACCGACCCAGGAACTTCGTGAATGTATCACCCAATGTCCACAGCGGTCTTCCAGAGTTGTCCCTACTCAAAGAAGCAGAAATCGAGGTGCAGAGAAATGAAACAGCCGTAGAAGTGCAAAGCTGTTAGTAACTTATTTGCTGGTAGGAGTATGTGTCTTCTCTTGTGCAGAGGGCATTTTGATTTACCGTTAGGATTAACACCATATAGTTAAGAAACGTTAACTCTGGGTTCCTCCCTGAGACATTGACCTATCTGCTCCTTTTGTTGCTATTTGTTTTAAATATTTTTTTATTTTTGCTAGTGTTGTGGTTAGACAGATCCAGAAATCTATAAGCCTCAAGCACAAATGAAGTTCTGAGCTTATGGATCTCACCGAAGTCCACCTTTTACTTTATTGCGTGTCTCCCTCTTCTGCCAACCTCAAATGTTGTATGTTCTCCATGATCTTAGTTGGAAGGTCAGGGATGCAGGTAGCTCAAGTCAACTGCTTCAACTCCCTGCCTTCAAATAGTGCTATTTTTGTTTCCAATAAGGCCTAGAGGGGGTAAAGGGAACTAAAATTAACTTTGGCGACTGCTTTCCTTCGGCAGTGAGTTTGATACTGGCTGTGGGGATCATCTGAAAAGTCAGACAGGGCTGAGTCTTGAGGAGACCTCATGTTTGCATTCGTTCTGTAGGTCTGCTGTGCTTCACCCATCCCTTAAGAGTCTAGCCGGGCGGTGGTGGCGCACGCCTTTAATCCCAGCACTCGGGAGGCAGAGCCAGGCGGATCTCTGTGAGTTCGAGGCCAGCCTGGTCTACAAAGCGAGTTCCAGGAAAGGCGCAAAACTACACAGAGAAACCCTGTCTCAAAAAACCAAAAAAAAAAAAAGAGTCTAGATGGGTAGTGGTGGAATATGGGAGGTGGGTGACTCAGTAGACCACCCCTTCTTTGCTTTTAACTGATCCTTGAAAGGGGAAGGTTGTCTAAATAAATTGACTACCTTGGTGATTACTAGACTTTCTGTTAGCCTTTCTATCTGTTAGTTTTTCCCCCCTCCCATATGTTGTGGTTGAACATGAACTACATTTTCAGGCCTCAGGATCAGGAGTCTCAGGTTATTGGACATCTCAAAAGACCTTGTGTAGTCTCAGCCTCTTTCTGTACCTCATGTCTAAAGGGCAGGTGTCTGTCTGTGTTTGCTTTAGGTATCACATTTGTTTTAGTTTCCTGCTGGTTTAGGTGCTCTTCTGTAACTTCTCTGGATTCTACTTTAGTGTGAAGTAGTTTGCAGGGCTTGACTTACGTCTTTGTGGTGTCAGGCAGTAGAGACAGATTAGGACACTTGCCTTAGGATCCCAGAATTTAATTGGTGGTGACGTCTACAAGGAGCTGAGCCATTCCTTGTGGCCCTTTGAGTCTGTTTCCTTATGTGTAAAGTCTCTTAGGGTGCTGTGGAGACAAAATGATTGTGAAAATGCTTCTTAACAGAAATAACATCTATGAGTCTGTCATAGGACTGAAGATTTTTAGTGGGCCATGTCATTTGATCCTTGTAACAATCTATGAACTAAGTATTACCCCTGCTTTACAGAAGAAACAGGCTTAGAGAAGGGTTACATGACTTGCTCAGGGCCATGTAATTGGTCAAGCTGGATTCACTTTGGGGACAGTAACATTAAAGTTAGATCCTTTCAGAAATTGTGGTGTCATATATGTATGTATGTCATATTTTAAACAGTTTTACAGTGTGCAAGTCTATGGGATTAAGTATATTTACATTGTTGTAACAGCTGACATCTCCAAATTATCTTAACCTTCCCTAACTGAAACTCTCCTGGTCAAACACTGAGTTCTTGTTGAAGACACCTGGCAAACACCATTCTGTTTTCTGCTGTCAATTTGACTACGAGGACCGTCACACTGAAGTGAACTAATTCAGTCTTTGTCCTTCTGTGATTGCCAGAGCTAGCATCGCCTGCCTTCATTTCCCAGTGTTCGGTAAATGCCGAATGATTTACTAGTTCTCATCTGTGGCAGAGAATGACATCCCTGGAGCAGGAATCCAGGCCTGGTTGAACTCCAGCAAAGCCCCCTTCTCCACAGTACAGTTTAAGCTTTTTTGCTGAAGCCAGTTCTGGAATTATACTAGCCCCTGTATTTTCAGAGGAGACTTTCTGTCCTTGAACTAGAACCCAGACTATTCCATATTCTCTGTGCATGCTTATTTGGCCATTCAGGGTTTAGCATATAATAACTGTAGTGATCAGGAATAGCAGGACTATGACAGCAGCTTGGATTAAAATTTGCCAGCTGATTAGGTGGATTAATTACCTCAATGACAAGCTCCCCTTTTGTGTCCCTCTTTCCCTAAAGGCACACAGAAAGGATTAGAGTTTGGAGTCTAGAGTCTTAGATGTTCTTATGGTTCCTCACTGCTGTAGGTGGCTAGAGTGGGGTTAGGCATTACATTTAGCCTTTCAAAATTCACTTTGGTTACTGTTTCTGTGTCTGTTTGTTTGTTTGTTTGTTTCTCAGACAGGGTTTCTTTGTGTAGTTTTGATGCCTGTCCTGGATCTTGTTCTGTAGACCAGGCTGGCCTCAAACTCAGATCTGCTTGGCTCTCCCTCCCAAGTGCTGGGATTAAAGGCGTGTGCCACCAATGTCCGGCTATTTCTGTGTCTTGTAGTGAGTAGTTAGATTTTTATATTTATGAAAGTTGGCTGGAATTTTGTTCTGATAGTAATGTGGCTTTGAAGTAGGGAGTGTTCCATAGATGGGGAATAGAACAACATATGTGATTATGTTATGCTCTCTAAAAATTTGATAGCCCACTTTATCCATTAAAGTCGGAATGTGTTGAATAATATGTTTGATAAAGTGCCATTTTTTTCTTTGTTCTTTTGTGGTGCTTGAGATTGAACATGGAGTTTATGCATAGATTTGTTTTTATTTTATGTGTTTGGGTGTTTTGTCTGCATATATGTCTGTGCACCATGTGCATGCAGTGCCTGAGGAGGCCAGAAGATAATGTCAGATTCCCTAGACAGACTGGAGTTTCAGATAGATATGAGCTACCATGTGGGTGGTGGGAATTAAACCCGGGTCCTCTGAAGAGCAACCAGTGCTCTTAATCATTGAGCAATCTCCAGACCTTGGATAGACCTTGGATAGGTCTGCTTGGCTATTTAGACCAGACTTCTTTTTAACATTCCAAATGTAATTGTTTCAGTGGACACATCATTATTGGAAAGTTTTTTTTCATTTCCTGAATTAAAATAGTTTTTTTGAGAAAGGGTTTTACTCTGTAGCTAAGACTGTCTTGGAACTTGGGGTACTTCTCCTCAGCCTGGAGTTGAGAACCGCTGGGCTAAACTGAGTGGTGGAAACTAGTTGTGGAAAGGGAAATATTAGTCGATAGACATGTAGATTCTGTCCAGCTGCAAAGACTGCTTTTGTTAAGCCAGGATAATCTTATCTTTTTCCCTAGACAGCATCTTGTAACACACTCTTATGTTCTGGTGTGCTGTTTTATAAGTTTTATCACCTTAGCTAGGCACCAGAAAACCAAAAAATGAGTAAAAGAGCCCAAGGAACTCCTTTTCTAGAAGAACAAAAGATTTTAGTGACTTTGATAATAGCGGAGTGGGGAGAGGAGAGGATGATGGGATTGAACAAGACAGAACAGGATGAGATGGTATCAGGGACTGTTTTTTGTTAGGGATAGGAGTCTAGAGACCTGCTTTTCAGACTTTATATTAGGTGGCAAATTTTCAGATTTGTTCATCTGAATAACTAAGGTCCTTTCTAGCAGTAACGTTTTATGACTAGGTCGTTTAGACACTATATCTCCAGGAAAGGTATTTCCCTCCCAGACGTCTTAGACAGTGTTAGGGGTTGGGTAGGGGAGGAGACAGCAAGAGGGCTTAGGTAGGAAAGGAAAATTTGAGATCTGTGTTCCAGGTGCAGCTCACAGAGAGTTAGGACACAGTCATAAATTGGAAGATTGGTAGCCTGAGGATTATCTGGTTTGTTCCTTTGATCCTAAGTGTGTTGGCTTGAACAGGCCTCTTTATTCACTGATCTTGTTTTCTTCATAATCTAGGAGAAAGAGATAGGAAGTGGTGACAGAACAGAACTGGAAGTCCCTTCCGACTCCCCCTCCCTCTTTCCTCTCAGGTGAATACATAGGGCTGTGCCCAGGCACCATCGTTAACTTTCCTCATTGTTTCCATGGCACTTAAGTGTCTTGTCATTTCATAATTGCTTTTGTGGTAAAATGTGTGCTGTACCTTTTGGGAGGAAAAAGAGGAAAAGGAGATGTGGTCCCTTTTTTCCAGTTCCATCTCTTAGAAGAACACTTGAAGCTGTCTACTGTGTCCTGCTCTAGATGGTAGGATAAGGAATCAGGGTTGTGGCTGAATACATAGGTTTCCCAGAAGGCATGTGTATTTGGAATGTTCAGAGTTGATGAAAGTGCATGTCTAGTGAATTCTGTTAGGGTTAAAATAGCACTTGGTGGGCTTTTGATGCTGTCTGAACTCATGTTAGTTACAATTACCTAAGACTGGAATTTTAGTCTTCCTTCTGTAAATGTTATTATATACTATGTGTGTATGTGTCTGTCTGTCCACACACACACACACACACACACACACACACACACACACACACACACACACACGACTATGATGTATTTGTGTCAGTTGGCATGTCTGTTATGGCTCAAGTGTCTTTTGGGAGTTGATTTTTTTTCCCTTTCACCCTGCATTCGGAGGATCCGATCATGTCCTCAGGCTCTGCATTGCAGGTACTTTGACTTGCTGAGCCATCTAACTGGCTCTGGAATAGATAATCATCCCCATCCCCCATCCCCCCCCCCCCCCCCCCCCCCCCCCCCCCCCCCGTTTCCTCTGTAGAGCCCTAGCTGTCCTGTAACTCACTTTGTAAGCAAGGTTGACCTTCATCTCAGAGATCCGCCTGCCTCTGCCTCCAGAGTACTG